CTGTGGGTTCTGACATTCCCTATTCTATTATTTTAACATGCCGCTGGGCTGCTCAAAGGGGTCAGCTCAGGGGACTGAGTCACTCAAGGACAATGGCAGAGGCACATGGAGGGCTCTTGGGAGCCTTGGACATGGCGACTGCCTGGAGCTCGGTGCCCACATAGCCAGCAGGCGTGGGCCTCCTGGAGCCAGGGAGGGTGCCATTTCAGCACGGCCTGCCAAACTGCTGAGAGCTGGCACGCAGCAACCTGGGGAGCAGGGTGGGCCTGCTGTGGTCAGGGAGGGGGGACAGGGGAGGTGCAAGGCAGGTGACCTTCTGGATTGAGGCAGAGGGGGGCCCTTGGCCCCCAGGGACCTTCCCAAGAAGGAGGACGCGGCCGTGTGTGCGCGTGTGCGCGTGCACAGGCTAAAGGCTGCACCAGAACAAAGAGCTGGGGGCTGGGCATCGGAGGGGCCCACGTGGAGACGCCTGACTTGGCGGTTTGCTGCAGTGTCTGCTCTGCGCTCACGCTCCGTCTCTGTCTCTCTCTCTCTCTCTCTCTCACACACACACACACACACAGACATGCACGCACCGCACAGCACTGCCCCCAGGCCTGAGCTCGTGCTCCAGAGCCCACACACCCAGCGCACCACCATCTCTCCTGACAAAGCACCGCTCTACTCCTCGCTGCATGAGCTCATCCCACCGGCCCTCTGGCCCCAGCTTGGCCTCCTGACAAGAGAGACAGACAGGGAGAGGGAGCGGGAGAGGGGTGGGGGAGTCGGGGGGGGGGGACACGCACACACAGACACACACACACATTCACCACCACACACACACGTGCACACACAGGCACACATGCTCACCATCACACATACACGCACGCACACACACATTCACCACTACCACACACATAGTGCACGCACACACATCACAACACAGGGAGAAAGTCAGAGGCAGTAGGGAATGGAAAGAAAGACAGGGACAGACACACAGCATCAGAGACCCTCAGAGAAAAAGGAGAGGGAGACACTGGGAGTGAGTGAGGCAGAGCGGGAACCCAGACGGAGACAGGAAGATGGGCAGGCAGAGAGGCTGCAGGAGCTCCAGGGACAGAGCATGTTCTAGAACTGCAGAGGGCTGGCTGGAAGAGGCCCAGTTGGAGCCAGTGTGTTCACTGCACACACAACCCTGACACCCCGAGGACCTTCCCAGCTGCACCCAGAGTGGGGGTTAGGCAGGTCATGCACCCACCCACAGAGCCCCAGGGACAGAGAGCGGTGGGAAGAAGCTTCGCTGGGGTGGAAGGGGCCTTAGAGAGGCTGGGAACCACGCAGGGGAAAGACAGCAGAGAAGGATGGCCAGAAGTAACACGGCCTCGGCACCCACTATGCACCAGGTATTGGCTGCATCCCTTGCTCCCATGACTGGGGAAGCTCAGTTAGTCCTCTGGGCAGCCTGTGGGATGGGCATATAATCCCTCCTTACAGATGGGGCCATAGCTCCAGGAGGTGGGCAACGTGGTAAAGATGGGGACCAGTGCTGGAGCTGCTTCTGAAATTTGGGGTCGCTACCCTGTTCTCCATAGTCTCCACCCCTCTCCTGGTCTGGCCTGTGCCCTGCAGACCCTTTATCCCACCAAAGAAACCAGCAGCTGGAGCTTTCCCCATCAGACTGGCACCCTGCCTTCCCAGAAGATGGGCCAAGCAGGGGCATGGCTGGGACCCTGAGAGCTGCGAGGCCCATACTTCTCAAGGGGGTGCTGGCGGCCTGTGAGAGGTGGTTAGCCATGGCTCTTGGTGCTGACCAGGGTTTGACTCTTGGTAAGTGAATTTATGTGACAGCTAAGGCACAGGTCCTGCTGGGCCTCGGTGTTCTCAGCTACGGAATGGGTATACTGAGAACTCACCTTAGGGGTCCAGAGCCTGTCATGTGACTAGATCGACATATTTATGGGAAAGGGCTTTATAGACTGTACACCTTGGGGTTACAGATGGGGAAGGAACAAAGCCCTTGTCTTAGGAGCAGAAGGGATGTTGGAAATACCACTGAGAGACAGGCAGGGCCACGCTAGAGAGACTTGAGGGAAGCAAAGGGCTATCCCAAATGGAGGAGCTTCCCAGATCCTGATCCAGGGGGACAGAGGCCTCCTAAATTTATGTCCCCAACCAGCTTCAGAGTCAGCTGCGATGCAGGGGGCAGAGCTTTAGGCCTGAGTTAGAAGGCCACAACTTCAAGTCCCAGCCCTATAACTTACGAGCTGTGTAACAGCAGACAAGACCTCTCTGAGCTTCAGATTCCTCCTCTGTAAATGTAGACAATACCCAGTATCTCATAGAGGTGGGCACTGAAGCAAAATAAGGGAGACCCCCCAGAATGTACTAGCAGGGTGATGAGAGACCCTTGAGGGAGGGGCAACACGGTGGCCTAGGGAGCAGCTGGGCTTTCTGGAGCAGCCCATCCTCCTATTTTTCTTCCCAAATCCTGTCTCTGTTTTGCTTTTGCATATCCCCTGGAGTCATCCCTTTGTCTCCACTCTACTCCACAGGAAGTGGAACCTTCCTGGCCCAGCCACCATCATCCGCACCCTGACACCCCAGCAATCTGCCATCTGGCTCCTTCCATCCACACCGGCCTCCCCTGTGCAATCTGTTCTTTGAAAAGCTGGAGCCATCTTTGCAAATTGAAAATGTAGCCATGTTCCCTTTAGTGTTAGGACAACCCTCAAGACAGGCCCTGTGTGTTTAACTGCCTCTACTTCTGCCTCTGGGCTGTGGAACCACTGGCCTTCTTTCAGTTCTGCCAAGAAGCCAAGCTGGCCTCTACCTCAGGGCCTTTGCATAAGCCTGGTTGTTCCCTTTGCCTGGATAGCTCTTCCTCCTTTCCTTACCTGCTCAACTTTGACTTGACTTTCAGGTCCCGGGAAGACTTCCCTACTTCCAAATTGTCTCATAGCATCCCGGAGACTATTCCTTCAGGGCACTTATCACAGTTTGAATTTACATGCGTGCGCACACATACAGAGCTGTGATTTTTTGCGTGTCTTTTTTTTTTTCTCTTAATTGAAGATTTGGGCTTCCCTGGTAGCTCAGCTGGTAAAGAGCGGGTCGGGAAGATCCCCTTGAGAGCGGATAGACTACCCACTTAGTATTCTTGGGCTTCCCTGGTGGCTCAGGCAGTAAAGAATACTCCTGCGATGCGGGAGACCTGGGTTGGGGAGATCCTCTGGAGGAGGGCATGGCGACCCACTCCAGTATTCTTGCCTGGAGACTCCCCATGGACAGAGGAGCCTGGTGGGCTACAGTCCATGGGGTCTCAAAGAGTCGGACATGACTGAGCAACCAAGCACAGCACACAGCTGATTTACAATGCGGGGTTAGTTTCTAGTGTACAACAAACAGCTGTGATTATTTGATCCCATGGTTTTCTCTCCCTCTAGACCAGGCATCAGGAAACCCTCCTGTCACTTACTTTTATAAATAAGATTTTCTTGGAACTAGCCACACTTATTTGTTTACATATTGTCTACAGTTGTTTTTGTGCTCTGCTTGCAAGGCCTAAACTATTTACGATTTGGTCCTTTACAGAGAAAGTTTGCTGATCTCTGCTCTGGACAGTATGTTTCCCTAGCAGAGACCACATCTGTTTTATTCCTCAGCACAACCCAGCCCCAGTCAGGCGCCTGCAAAGAGCCGGTGCTCAAGAGCAATACGGATGTATATGCTTCTTGGATAAGTAGCAATTTTTCCCTTGTCAAAATTGTATTGACTTAAGTTATTATTAAAACTGCAGATTTCATCAGGAACAGACGTCATTTACGAGATTCCAAGACTGTTGTCTGGCAAGCAGTTCAATACACTAGTGACATTCCCAACACAGGCTGGCGCGTCAGGGATCGCAGAGCATCTATTGGCTAACGAGAGCTTCACCACCTCTTATAAGTGACCCGCCATCCACGTGCATGGACCATCATAAACATAACAGAGTAAAGCACAAACCCTTGTTCAAGAGATTGTGGGCTGTGCAGACTGATGAAAACCTATTATGAGATGTTCTTTAAACACTTGCATTATGCTGTTTCTACAAATACTCCAAAGAACTGATGGACGAATTCAGAGAAAACGTCTGTTTTATTGTTATGCAGAGGAAATAACTGACTTTTGTTCTTTTTCAGTGAATTGTTCAGACTCGATAAAGAGTGTTAACCACATCTAGACACTGCTCGGCACTGACCCCAGCATGGTAGCTCTCATTGTCACTCCTGCCTTTCCGAGGAGATAAACTGAGGCTCAGAGGTCACATACTGAGCAAGTGACAAGGCTGGGTGGTCCAGGTCTGTTCGAATAAAAACTTACACAGCATCCCCTGCTTTTAAGCAAGGTAATGAAGATGGAGGGGCAGGTAAAGCTTCACCCTTGGTGTGTTTAAAGCCCTTGCAGAGAGAATGCCGTGGCCTCTGTTTACTAAGGGGTCAGAGGTCCCACGTGATGATGGAGTTGCAATGGAGAATACTACATAGAGCAAACTTTTAGGACTATGAAAGTACTGATTCATTTTTATTTAAAAAAATTTTTTTGAATGAATACAGCAGAGCCTCAGGGTCAAGGGTGCTGACTCTGGAGTATAGGCCTGGATTTAAATCTCAGCTCTGCCACTTCCTAGCTGTGTGACCTGGGAAATCTCTCCAGCTTCTCTGAGCCTCAGTTTCCTGGACTGTAAAATGGGGATGATCACAGGACTAACACCAAAGGGTCACTGTGGTGATGGAATAAGATGATGAGCATCTCCCTTTAGCCCACTGCAGGGGGGTGTGGTGTGCCCTGGACCCCTTGCTGGCCCTGAGACGAGGGAGAGGCCCTACCTGTGGGCCAGCAGGTGAGCTGCTGCCCCTTGGAGGCTCACACCACACCTGAACGAACCATGGCACCAGCCGACAGGGGTGGTGATAGCCCTGGGTTTGAGCCCACTGCTCAGCCTGCCTCCCGATGAGACCGTGGAGGCCCCGGCCGTCACCTACCGGCAGACTTCGGAGTGAACTTGTCTCGGTTCGCGGCACACACAGCCAGCAGTCGGTAGCCGAGGTCCAGGTCGAATCCTTGCTGAGCTGCCACCCGGCTGACCACCTGCCAGCAAGATGGGGGAGAAGGGTGGGGTGACTCACTGTCCACGCCAGGCCTCTGAACCCAGAGTCACGGATGCGCCCATTTCACAGGTGAGGCGGGAAGACTAAGGCAGATCTTCAACACGTGGCAGAACTGGGACTCCAAGTGTCTTGTTCAGTCACTCAGCAAACACTAGTAAGCACCTCTCCCATGTCAGGTCCTGGGATTCCGGGCTTTGCCCTCAAGGGTGGGCCTGACCCCAAAGCCCAGGACCTGCTCTTTCAAGGGCCCAAATTTGGCATCATTCTAGAAGTTGGCAGGTGATGCTATACCATCATGTTTAGCATGGCCCAAGGCCAGAGTCTCTCCTCCCTTCAAACTCCATCGCCCCAAATCTCTAACCCCCAGGAAGTCTCCTATGCCCACCACCTTGCCCCCATTCCTCACTAAACCCCAGTACCCACCACCACAGGATACTGGCTACTCTCACTTCTCCAAGAACAGTCCCCACCCAGCAGCATCATCCTAAGTCAGCCTACATCTGGAGAGAAGCACGGAAGTAGGACTCACCACCTCCCTGGAGCTCCAACTTGGAGATGCCCAAATGGACTACTAAGAACTCCCCAGAGTACATGCCCGGTGATCGCCAGCTCCGTGCCAAGTGCCCTGCAGCGCTCCGACCCTAGTCCCCAAACTGCAGGGCTATCACGCTCAGCCTGGGGTCTGTCGCCAGCGCCAAGCACTGGCCCCTTGCCATGGGAGGCACCTGTAAAAGCAGGGGCTGTGCATTTGGACCGGAGGTCCCACCTGTCTCCCCATGAACCCTGCAGGCATGTGCTGGAATGGGGAGAGGCAAGGGGCTTGGAGGGCTGTCAGTCCCGGGGGGTCCGTGCAGTGAGGGACAGGGTGCTCGGGATGGCTCATGGATGGCTCCGCAGGCTGACACCCGCCCACTCCCAGGTGTCCCACCAGCCAGATCAACTCCCTCCTGCCCGCCTTCCTCATTAACAGCAGCCAAATTAGGTTTCCTTATTAAGAAAGAAGGACCTTGGAAAATGGAGTCATTTAAGGAAGCAGCTGGGGCGGCTATGGCTGACTGGGAAAGGAGGGCTCCCAGATGGGGGGCTCACTCTGTTGAGAAAGGGAAGGCTCCATCACTGAGCTCCTAGAGACCACCTGCTCCAGAGGCGTTCCGAGGCCCCCAGAGGGTCTAGGCTGCCATGGGGTTTGGCCAGTCCCTGCAGCCATTATAAGAGTTCCCCATTATAGGCTTTAAGGGCTTCCCTGGTAGCTCAGCTGGTAGAGAACCCACCTGCAATGCAGATCCCGGTTCGATTCCTGGGTCAGGAAGTCTCCTGGAGAAGGGATAGGCTACCCACTCCAGTATTCTTGGCCTTTCCTTGTGACTCAGACAGTTAAGAATCTGTCTACAATACGGGAGATCTGGGTTTGATCCCTGGGTTAGGAAGGTCCCCTGGAGAAGGGGATGGTTACTCACTTCAGTGTTCTTGCCTGGAGAATTCCATGGACAGAGGAGCCTGGTGGGCTACAGTCCATGGGGTCACAAAGAGTCGGACACGACTGAGCGACTTTCACTTCACGTCATAGGCTTTCTATTTTAGGGGTTCATCACAAGAACTTTAGAGCTACAAAGGGTGGGAAAACCACTTGTCTTGGCCAACCCTCTCATTTAAAAACTACAGACACTTGAGGTCCAAGAGAGAGTCCGTGGTGCACCAGGAAGGAGCCAGTGGATCCCTCCTTCCAGGACCAGCATGATCTCCTGACCCTGCCTCCCCGCCTCCATCTCCAGGGAGCTCTCTGAGCAGGGAGGAAAAAGGACTTTCTCAGGTTAGAATGTTTGCTCAGCTTCTCTGCTGCACACAGAAGCCCCTGGCGCAGTAATCTTCTGTCTCCCCAGGCCTCTTTCCCACGGGATCTATTTGCCCCTGCACTGAGGTTCTTATGCAACTCCCATCCGGCTCCCCACCCCCATCTGCCACACACGCACCACGTTCCAGAGTCTCTGAGCCACCTCAGGGCCAGTTATTCCTCACTGTTAGTCTCACTGTCCAGGCAGAAAAAAATAGGGCCCCTAATCCTTTTTTTAAAAAAAAATATACATATATATATACATATGTGTATATATATATATATTTTTTGATATGGACCATCCTGTAACCCCTGAACTGGAAGGTGAAGCCTTTTTTAAAAAATAATCAATTAATAAATTAAAGTTTGGTTGTGCCGGGTCTCCGATGCTACGCGGGCTTTCTCTAGCTGTGGTGGGAGGCTGGGCTCCCCTCTGGCTGTGGTGCGTGGGCTTCTAATTGCGGTGGTTTCTCTTGTTGCGGAGCACGGGCTCTAGGCGCATGGGGTTCAGTCACTGCAGCTTGGGAGGCCAGTAGTTGTGGTGCCCTGGCTTAGTTGCCCCATGGCATGTGGGATCCTCCTGGACCAGGGAACGAACCTGTGTCCTCTGCAACTGGCAGACAGATTCTTAACCACTGGATCACAAGGAAGTCCCTAGAAGGTGACGTCTCAACCACTGGACTGCCAGGGAAGGCCCCAAGACGGCTAGTTCTCTCTGGCCTGTTGAGTATTCCAGTCCTGGAGACAGACACTGTACAGCAGGGAGAAGGGTCACTTCAGCTCAGATGTTGACTACAGAGCCCTCATTGGTAGGACAGCCTTGGGGTGGATGCGAGTGAGCACAGGCAGTTTGTTTGGACTAGTGCATCAGTAAGGCTGATGCTTGTGGGCTATGCTGACACCCTGGTGCAATGAGAATGCTGGCTTCCATGAACGAGGGCTAAGTAAATGCTTTGTAAGCAGTGAGGTGCCAAATTCTCACAATAGTTCTGTGGGGTGTATGACCCGTCTCTGTTTTACAGATGAGGAGTCTGAGGGTGAGAGAGATAGGATGCTACGCCAGGCAGTCAGGCTGCAAAGCCTGGGCTCTTTCCACAAGAGGACTTCTTTTTCAACCTGCAAAGGGTTAAGGCCATCACTCCCCATCTGCGCGGAGAACCCTCAGGCTCTGGGTTAAGGGCAGAAAGGCAAAGGTCCCTCTGTTGGGCCAACACTGGCTGATCCTGTTGCTCTGGTTCCAAAAAAAGAAAGAAACTAGCTAGATTGAGCAAGAGGGGCCTGCTATTGGTTCTAAGGGCTCTCCTGCAGGCCTGGAAGGGTCGGTCACTAAGTCCCCCAAGCCCAGTATTCAGAAGGGTTATTGGGTCCAACAATTTCCTTTTATCAAGACACAGAGAGGTCAGGGCCTGGCTGAAGGTCACACAGCGCAAGTGTGGCCGAGCAGGCTAAGCTGGACCCTGCGCTCCTGGAGTAATTTGTGAGTCCCTGTCTTCCCCTGGCCCAGCCTAAGGATCCCCTGGAAAGTCCCGTGAGGAGGGCCTGATTGACAGGGGTAGGGAGAGTGGGCCCAGCTGAGTAGTCTCCTGTCGTGTTTCAGAGATGCCTGCTCCCACCCCACGGGTGTGAAGACCCCTCAGTGGAGAGCCTGTGGTGAGCGGCCGCAGCACTGCTGCCCTCTGCTGGCTGCCGGGCCCGGTCAGCTTGGCCCAGCCTACGGGGTGCTTCTAAGGCTAACTGGCGTGACCTGGCAGTCTGAGACCTAGGCCCTGGGGTGCTACAGGTCAGGGAGCCCAGTCCCTCAGGCCACAGAGCAGGAAAACTGAAGCCCAGAGGTGAGAGAACAGGCATGTTCAAGGTCATATGGCAGTTACGTTAGTCCCATAAAGGCAGTGCATTGCCTTTGAAAGCAGCAAGTCTCCTGGCTATAAAACAGGACAGATTGTCTAGGAGATGCTAAAGAAGGGGTTTCTGCTCCCAGCTGGTGCCTGGATTCTGTCATCATCCTATTAGGCAGTCACAGGAACTGGCCTGTGCTCCGATCCTGCTGCATCCTATACTGAGCAACCGAAGGCATGGGACTTAACCTCTCCGGGCCTCAGTTTCCTCATCTGTGGAATGGGTACAAAACCTCCTTTTTGCAAGGATGACAGCCAGGACCAGGCACATGGCTCAGTGAATGCTGTCTGTGAACGTTTATCCACGACTTCAGCAGTGAACGCTCTGAGGCTGTGGGGAATCCCTCCCTGGAGGGGTGGCGAGGGCTCTGCTGCTGTGTTGACCGGTTTTCGGTTTCTCTTTCCCACCTCCTCTCATACCTATCTCCCTTCTCCTGGCTGCCTCAGCCTTCCGTCTGTTCCTCAAGCAGATCAAGCATGTTCCCCCTCAGGGGAGGAAGGAGGAGCAGGTCCAGAGAGGCCTGACTCTGAGAGGGACCCCCACAGAGGACAATCAGCCCTGATGCTCAGGGGAGGGCCTGGGAAGAAGCTGGTCCAGAAGAGGAAGTGGTACCTGGGCTGACACCCCTTGGGAGAGGCTGCAGGTCTGCATCCTGGGGTCAGAGGGCATGAAAGGGAGGGTGGGGTAGGGCACTGCCAGCAGCCCAAGGTTCTTCAACCCAGGGTCCGGCCCTGGGATGGCAAACATGTGTCCACTTACTGCCTGAGGCTAAGTGGTTTTTAATTTATATCCTCCAAGTAAGCCGAATCCAGAGGAATTTGTTCTAGAGGTCACTGAGAGGGTGAGGACAACCTGGAGGGCTCAGGTATCCCTCGGGATGGGAAGTGGTGCGAGTGTGTCTGTGTGTGTGTGGCAGGCGGGAGGGGGGGACCCTGCCTAGACCCCTTGGGATCTCTCACCTGTCCCATCCCATCCCTCTCTCGGGGCATGGCTGGGTTGAGGATGCCCAGGGGGATAGGAGGACTGGTGGCAGGGCCTTGGGGCTCCTGCGGGGGCAGCGGTACCACCCTGGGACGGTAGCAAGCTGCTCCCCCGCACTCTGTTGCCATGTTTGTAAGACAGGTGATAAACCCTTCCCTGCACCCTTGCAGGGTCTTCACAAGGATGAAAGGAGATAGTAACAGGGAGACACGTGGGCACCGAGGGTGTCTTCTATAAACCACATCCCTGCCCCCTGCCAACCTTCCCTGCTGCTGGTTTTATGGTGCTCCAAGCCACAATCACCCTCAGGTCTCCACAGCTGTGGCCAGTGGCCTGAGTCCCCTTTCTGGCTAAGCAGCAGTTTGGGAATGGGGTGGGGTTCAGAGCTGGCCATTCAACCCAGTGTGTGCCTTAAGCTGGGGGGCACTGGGCTTTTGTCTACAGTTTCCTGTGCCTGGGAAGCCATGGCCTCATCCCTGCTTCAATCAGATCCTACAGTTTTCCCTGGGCTTCCTCCTCCATGAAGACCTCCATAATCCCTCCATCCTGCCCTCCAGGGATGCTCCCCTTCAGAGCTCTTGTCCTCACATAAATCATATCTCATCACTCACCTGCTGAAGGCCCTGCAAGGGCTCCCCACTGCCCTTCCAGTCACATCCAAACCCTTCTCAGCTTGCAGCCTCAGGGTCAGCTGGTTTCTGCTCCCCTCTTTGACCTCCTCTTGTACCCTTCTCCGACACATGTGATCCTGTCACCTGAGCCAGTCATCCAGCCTCAGGGCCTTCGCACTCCCATTCCCTCTGCTTGGACAACCCTTCCCTCTCCTCTTCCCTGGCAGACTCCTTTTTGCTCCCCAGGTCTCATCTCAAGACACTTATCCTGATCACCACCCTGCTCCCTCTTGCAGGGTGCTGGGGTACGTCCTTAACTTCCTCCTTCATGGGCCTTAGCATTAGCCTCTCCCACAGAAAGGTAAGCTGCTTGCGAGAGGCCTACACTGCTCACTGCATGCCCCCCCTCCCCAGGGCTGAGTGTGGACCTACCAACAGCAAGGACTTGGTGAATATTTGCTGAATGAATAGATAAATGACAGGGCCATGGTAGGGCCAGTTACTGGTCATCTCATGCCCACCTATCCAGCCACCTGCAGGGCCATTATTGGATTCAGCCTTAGGTCCCTACATTCTCGGCAGGGTCAAACTCGGGGCAGGGAGCAGGTGGGGCATGGCAGCCCTACCTCCTCCCTTCCTCAGAATACCAGCAGCTGGGACGGGAGTAACATCTGGCCCTGCCCTTGGGGCTTATCCTGAACCAGGATCCCCACAAAGAGGATTAAGGGAGCTGGGTGAGGGCGGGGCAGCCCAGGGGCTGGGGGATGAGGAGGGCTGGGAAGTGCAGGCGGCTGCCTGGTTTGGCCCAGTGGCCCCGAGGTGGCCAGATGGTGTCAGCTTTGGACACATGGAGAACCCGTGGGAAGGTCTTGGTTGCATCCCTGCTTGGCATCCCTAAAGGCCAGGAATATCCCCTCTAGAGCTGGATGGGTCCCGACCTGAATCCCAGGTCCATGTCTGACTGGCTGTGTGAACTTGGGAAGGCAGTCCCCACTTGCAGCTTCCTTCTCTATACAATGAGGATGAAGGCAGGACCAGTCTGCTCTGAGGAGTCAACGAGAAGGCACATCCAGTGGGCCAAGCTCAGTGTCGGGCACGGAGGAGGTGCTCTGCAGTGATGGCCTTTCGCCTCGCTCCTGTCTGGAGGTTTTTTCAGAAAACATGGTGGCCTTGGATTGTACCCACTGTTCCTGCCTGATGAGGCATACATCTTGGCCCTTCCTCCCCAAGCCTTGGGGTAGCCGGGCTCCCCTGCAATCTGTTTACCCACATTCCCTTCAAAGCTGACTGCACCGTCTGAGCAGCTGTCCCCACTGGCCGCAGAGGTGCCCTCACATTTATGGATACAGGCCACGTGGCTGGGGACAATCATAAGCTTTGAGCTCCTTCCATGTGGCTGTCAGCCAGCAGGCTCCTCAGCTTGGCAAATCAAACCGCTAGCTCTGGGCCTGGCCTCTGCCCAGCTTGGATCCTAGACCCTTATCAGGATGAGTTAATTTCAGTTTCCTGGATTCTATTGCACATCTGGGCGTTGGCATGTTCTGTTCCATGTGCTTAGGACATTCTTGCTATCCTCAGTTGCTTGTGCAGGTGTATCAGACTCCTACACACATATTAGTGGCTCCTTTCCTCAGTTTTCTGCAACCTGCCCCACCACCAAGATGGGAACACTTCCCTTCTCCGTGTTCCCTTCACCTTATCGTGATTTCCTCAGCCGTCTCTTCCCACAGCTATCTCCCCCATTGAAGAGGGAATCAGGCTTGGCAAGGTCTTTCCCATCTTCAGTTTCCCAGGATTTAGCAGAGGGGATTGTGCATGATAAACGAGAGATCGATCAGTGTTTATTTGGATAGATGGATGGATGTAATAGGAGCTCAATAAATGCTTATATGAATAGATGGATGGATGACTATAAAAAGAGCTCAACAGATGTTTACCAAAGTGAATGAATGAATGGATAAAAAGAGGCTTGAAAACCTTCAAGAGCCTCTCTGCTTTACTTATGATGGAACATTTACTCTCATAAGTCTAGAACTCCTCAAAGTAGGATCATGTCTTTCTTATCAAGTGTAAAGAACGCATGTAACCCCGAGGAATGTGTCTCCCCATCAGACTAGATTCCCTGCAGGTATATGCCTGTCAGGGGTACATACAGATGGGTCCTCCCCTCCAGCCGCAGCCCAGCACATGAGTCCCCAGCCATCCTCCCTGGGTGCGGGCACAGGCCGGGAGAACACAGACTCACCGTCAAACAGCCCATCAGGCTCTGCTCAAAGGGCCGCTGGAAGGCTCGCGGGTCTCCGCACCAGTCCAGTAGCTCCGTGGCGGCATTGTGGAAGTTGGCGGGGTTCTGTAAGTGCTGCGGGAGAGGGAGAGGAGGCAGCGTGAGGCTCCAGAAGTGAGGCCAGTGCAGTGTAAGGGAGTCCGGGGCAGTGAAGACCCCAGGTTTCCCCGGGGAGGAGATGCACAGGATGGGGCAGGCCAGGATGAGTGAGTTCTCTCAAACTCCTCATTCACTTTCCCCCTGCATCTCCACTCTGGCCTATTTTCTGATGGGATGGGAATTGCCGCCCCATTGCAAAGATGGAAAAACTGAGGTCTAGAAAAGAGCAATGATGTTAGATATTAAAATGTTTTCTGGATGCTGGCAGTGGGGGGTTGGAGGCCCTGCAGGGTTCAAGAGGGTGGTGCGTGGCTCCCATCCTTGGAGCTGGTTCTGCATGAGTCAGGACAGACTGGCCCTGGAGATTCCTTATTGGTGAGCACCCTCCACCCCATCCCCTGCCTCGCAAACCACCTCCACCACCACCACAGCTCAGGTCTGTATGCCACCTGCTCTGGCTCCAGCGAGCCCTGCTGGAGTCAAATAGCAGGAGCAGGGCGCACAGAAAGAGGCCTCCAGGCCACACCCAGCCGGGAAGGTGCACTCAAGCACAATGTGCCCAGGTGATTGTCACGTCATGATCAGGTGCATGTGGCTCAGCCATTCCTGTTCCCCACACTCAGGTTTCCTGGGCTCAGTCTGGCTTGGCTCAGGGATGCTGACGTTGCTGGGAGGGGACCCTGCCCGAGCTCAGGCCCCACCCAGTTATGGGGTCTAAGTTAACAGATGCTGAATTCTGGTGCCAGGGCTTCTAGATTCTGCTTCAGAGCCAGGCCATGGGGCTGATGGTGGGTGGGGGCAGGGGGGAGGGGAGGGTGGCTGCTGCAGCTATCTTTTCCTTCATTTACACTTATCTGTGTCTTCCTAGGCCAGGCCGAGTTAGGCACCAACTCCAGGGTCATGGAGCAGGTTAGGGCAGAGTTGGGACTTCAGGGCTGAATGTGACTCCCTGTGAGGTATCCAGCAGGACAGGCAGAATGTGTCCACAGGGACTGGAGTAGAAGCCAGCTGCAAAGGGGATCCCCGTGTCCTTGGTGCTGAGAGAGACTGGGGACAGCCGCTGCCCTTGGACCAGTGACTCGCTCCCATCCTGCAGTGAAGGTCTGCTTTGGAGCCAAGGCTGGGAGAGGTCTTAGGAGCTGCCAGTTCCCAGAACTGCATGGAGAGCAGGATGTGCTGGGGGAGCCCCTATGGGCCGGGACCCTGGAATCACACTGCCTTCACCCACAACTATCTACTGACCAAGGGCATCCCCTTCCCTCTCCGAGCCTCAGTCACCCCCACCTGTAAAATGGGGATAGCAGATCATGGCTTAGCGGTGAGGATTTTTGTTTCCCTTAGAGTTCCACGATTACTATTACAATGTGGTTTATGAAAGGCCAGATTTAAAAATGGATGGAGGAAAGAGAAACGCATCAGAGTATCCTCCCTCTGTGGGAGCAAAGAGAGAGGGAGAGGTGAAGGGAAGACAGAGGGCAAGTGTGCACAGCCCTCTGTCACTGGGCTGTGTTGAAGATTAAACAAGAGGAGGCTTACACGGCCCCTGGCAGAGCGCCTGGCACATGGGGTGCTCCCATGTGGGGCTGCCCTTGGCCCTGACTCTGTCTCCCAAAGGCTCCGCTGGAGGCGCAGCTGCACTCAGCACCTCCTGCCCTGGCTACACATACACACACACACACGTATACACATACACACACGGCTCTTTCTGCAGACAGAGCTCACTGCATATGAAGACAGGAGGATGTCCACGGCTAGAAACAGACTCTCTGAGCAGGCAGCAGTAGGCCCTCTGACTCCTGTGCCCTCTCTAAAACCTGCCCCTTCCGAGGCCATGGGCAGCATCTGGTCTCCGTGTGGAAAGCCATGCAAATCAGTTAATCCCCCGCCCAGCAGCCTCCCTCTGCTAACCAAGTTATTCCGTTTATTTACGTGATGTCACACCCAATTAACAGGGTCAGCAACCACCGCATGGTGCTCTCAGAGTTGCCCACCCACAGCATCCCATCTTTGACATCACTTTTCGGGGCTTTAGGCTTGCAAGGGATCTCTGAGGCCAGTCTCACGGGTCCAGTTTTGTTTGGCCCCAAGCAACCAGCCTTCCATATCTGGCCAGCTCACCTCTGAGCTTCTCCACTCTCGCCCCAGCCGGCTCATGAGGTCTTTGGTCTGGGCTATGGGAGGTGACTCGTGGGTGCAACTCTTTGGTACAAAAGACCACAGGCATCCCATTGGTGGCTGCTGCTCACTGGCTGTGTGGCCTTGGACAAACCTCCAGCCCCTCTAGGCTTCTGTTGTCCGTTTAGAGACTCTGAGGTGGCTAAAGGATGCAGTGAAATGAAGAGGACCCCATCTCAGCCACTGAGTCTCACAGCCCTGCATGTATTCCTGAGATTCAGATCTCTCTTCTGCAAAATGGGATGGTGACAGCATGCAGGGCTGCTGCAAAGTGTAGAAACAGCATCTGTAATGGCATCCCCATTACAGAGCAGGTGTCGGGTAAGACTTTGCTTGGCACGCTAGGACCTCTCTATGGTTTCTTGTTTCTCCTCCAAGCTCCCCCAGAATAGAATTAGTGCCCCCTTCATCTCCAGAACCTCCAAAACTGGCATGAGGCCAAGTCCATGCAGAAAGAGTTTGTGAGCAGTCAGCTGTCCAAGGCATGCTATGTGTACTGGTAGCTTCAGACTAGGTCCCCAGTGGTACTTGGAGGGGCCAGGACTGGGTGGGGTGAGTTTGGCCACCCTTTGATGATCTGGGGATGGGAGTACTGATGTGAATCACAGGCAGAGTCCTCCCTGGCTGCGGCTGTTACTGGATACTAATACCCCACCCCCCACCAGGAAGCCTGCTCATCTCTGTAATTCCTCAGAAGATCTTTTTGGGCTATATCCACTGGCAACTGAGTCTGCTGGAGCAGGAGTTGGGAACACCAGTGCCCAGATCAAGTGATGAATGCATCTTATCAATCCATCTGAGAATCAAATGACCCATCCATCCATCTACCCATCCATCCATCTAAAAATGAATCAGTTCATCCATGCATCCATCCACTTGTCCACCTACCCATTCATCCATTCTCTACTTTATCCGTCACTCATCCATCCATTCATCTACCTACTTATCTTTCATTCCATCCAGAGTTTATCCAACCACCCACTTATCCATTTGTTCATCATTTATTTATCTATCCATCATTTATATCCACCCACCATCCACTCACCTAACTGCCTATCCATGTGTTCATCCATCTATCCACCAGTCCATCCATCCATTCCCTTAGCTACTGATCTGTGAGTACCCACCCCATCCCCATTCTTCCCCAACATTTTGGCCCCATCCTGGCCTGGACTCTGCTGACGTATGATGAATATAGTTCATCTTCTGCCTCTGAGGAACTCAGCCTGGAGGGAGACATGATGTACACCCTGCAGGGCTTATAGCTTAAGGGAGAAAGAGCAGGATGGGAGAGGTAACTGGGTGTCAGGGGAGCACCAGGGCTCAGGAACGGGAAGTGCAGAGACTCAAAAGGGCACCTGAGGTTCAGGGAGGCTGCTGCGCAGGAATCAGTTGATTGGCACGGCTTTGCATGTGGAGCCCAGATGTGCCTGCGGGGACAATTTAGGGCATGTCCTAGAGAGGGCACCGGTTCTCCCAGTACCTAAAGCTGAGAAAGCAGAAAGGCAGCTGAGCCAGAGGTCTGGAGGGAAGACGGACAGACAGCTGGGTGCTCGGGGGCTGGCCAAGTGCCGGCAGCGGTGAGAACCTGGGCGGGTGGACGGGGGGCTGCACTATAAGTCAGGCAGGCTGGAGAGTCGGAGGCCCTGAGGCCTTGATGGGAGCCTTAGCTCCACCAGCCAGAGGGAGGGACAGCCAGCACAGGCATCATCTTCAGAACACGCAGACCCTTCTCTTCTGATCAGTCTGTGGGGCGTCGGACACTCAACAGTCTTCAGTCACCACGGCTGCCCTCTGCGGCAGCTAAGGAGCAGACAGATATCAGCGCTGAGCTGTGTCTGACTGGAGATGCGGGAGCAGCGTGGGGGACACAGGGAGCTCTGGCTGGCCCAGGGGCATCTGGACAGCCTGCTCACCCTCACAGATGAGCCACAGTCTGGCCTAAGCACAGAGCTGTGTGTGTGTGTGTGTGTGTGTGTGCGTGTGTGTGTGCGTGCGCGTGTGCGCGGACATGTGCATGTGGGGTGGGTCAGGCGAGGACGGTGGAGGCGATTCCTGGCTTTTAAGCAGCTCCAGGACCCAGTGGCTGGGCTGCCATCACGATGCCCATTTACAGACGATGGGCGATGAAGTGGCAACTTAATCAAGGTCAGGAAACCAGCGAGTGGTGGAAGGGGGACTCAGGCTTATTGACTGGTGAATCTGAGCCCATGTGCCATGCTTGGAGAGGCTGCTCCTGGGTGGGCTCCGGCCCCCGCTGGACCCCTGGGTGGTCCAGGGAGAAAAGGGCTCCCTGATTCTTGCAGAGAATCAGATGCAGGGAGAAAAGTCAAGTTGTGAGTAGGTTGTAGGGGGAGCTGTTTGCCCAGCAGCACACAGAGGGCTCAGGCACAGGGGCTTGACTGTATTACTGGGGGTGGAGCCACTGACAGCTGATCCCTCCTGGGCGGGAGAAACTGGGTTAAAGGCAGAGCTGGGAGACAGCCCCGGAGCCTAGAGGAGGAGGAGAAGGAGGAGGAGGGATGGGCAGGGGAGGAGGAGCCCATCGTCTGGTTTCTATTCTGTGACAGTGAACAGAGGCGTAATTGGCGTTTGGGAGAGCTGTTCGACTGAGTTCAATCTGTAACAAGTCGTCTTCAATTTCCTCTCCGCAGACCCAGGGTCCAGGCTTCCACGATTGCTCTGCTTGATGCTAATGAGAGGACACATATCCCTCATTCCCGCTGACTAGACTCAGCTTCACTGGGCCCTGGGGATCCGGGAGGGCAGGCAGGGTGGGGTGGGGCTGTGAGCTCTGCCCCCACCTCCCCTGGGGGTTCCTGAGGTCGGAGGCCTACACTGGCTCCCTAAACTGCCAGCTAAGCCCACCTAAGCCAGGGGCCTTGCCCCAGCACTCCCCTCCCCTAAGACATGCCCTGTCACTGAGACACCAACGACAAAGCCCCCCCACCTCAATTAACAGATGATCTGCCACCAGGCCAGGCTACACGCTCCACCCATAGTGTCCTCAGAGCATCCTACGAGGATGGCCTTACTGGACCCGCATGACAGGGAAAACTGAGGCTCAGAGAAACAGAGGGCCAGGCCTGATCTCAGCAGTCACACTGTGGGTGCATGGAGGAGTGAGGATTTGGGCTCAGGTCTGTTTGATGTCAAAGCCTCTACTCCTTCGCTCTATCTCCTCTTTCCTGGAGTAAAATACCACCAGAGTCTGTGCATGGACATGCTTGCTGCCTTTGGCTTCAGGGAGGCTGAGCCCAGAGGGAGAGAGCATCACTCCTTATCACCACTGGGGGGCGCCTGCCTGCCCAGGCTCAATCAGGCTTCTTAAAGTGGGGTCTTCTGAGCCCACTGTGAAGGGTTCCCTATATCTGAACAATCCAGACAGAAAGCGCGTGTGCATGCTAAGTCGCTGTAGTCGTGTCCGACTCTGTGGGACCCCATGGACTGTAGCCCGCCACGCTCCTCTGTCCATGGGATTCTCCAGGCAAGAATATTGGAGTGGGCTGCCATGCCCTCTTTCAGGGGATCTTCCTGCCCCAGGGATCAAACCCCTGTCTCTTTTGTCTCCTGCAGTGGGAGGTGGGTTCTTCACCACTAGCATCACCTGGGAAGCCCTGGCAGGCAAATCACCTCTTAAGCTTGGTGTGAGCATAGGCAGGAGGTGGAAATTGCACCTGCAGGGACGAGGCCCTCCCTGCACCAGTGGGGCTGCCCTCTCTGACTTCAGGCGACAGCTCTCTTCCCCCTTCCGTGCCTCGGTTTCTTTTTCTGTAAGATGATCGATTTCCCAAGACCTTTCCTTTTCTATTTCTTTACAAAGAACCACTAGAGCAGAGAGGGGGAGCTTAGGTCTGGGAGGGACATTAGGCACTTCACTGCATCCTCACAACAACCCAGAGAGCCCAGCAGAGCCCAGAGAGGGCATGACACTGATTCAAAGTCACACAGCTGGGAAGGGCAGGGAAGGCATGAGGCTGAGCTGGCATGTGAACTCAGTGGAGTGATTCTAATGTGAGACTGGTCCATGCCAGTTCTCACGAGGTGGGCAGTCGGGGACCTCCACCCCACATCTTAGGTGCTTACGACACCAGCACCCCCTCGGCTCTGCCCGCCTCGCCTGCTCTGCCCTTGCCAGCGGCCAGGCTGGCAGAGGAGGAGGTGGGAGCCTGGCTGCACACCCACCTGCTTGATGCACTGCAGTCGGTCGTTGGTCTGTTGGATGTGCCTGTCCATAGAATTCATTCTGGCCGTTTCACTGGGCTCTACCCGAGAGCCATGAACGTTGTCCAGCCTGTGAAGACAGAAGACAGTGTGTGTCACTGGGGCTGTGCCAGGCCCGCTGGCCTCAAGCCACCCTCACCTCCCCACACAGGCGTGCTGGCCTCTGCCCCGGGGCAGCCCTGGGCCGGGAGGAGGAACTAGGCCCATGGCTGCGCAGCAGTTCTCTAGGCTCAGCGCTGGGTTAAGGGCAGGAGGTGTTCCTGGGTGTTCTTCGTGGGTGGCTCATGTGAGCACTGGGCAGGTATGGCCACCACGCATGTCTACACACACGTGTGTGTTGGGTGGTGGTGGCAGCAATGGCAGTCCCATCTTCAGGTTCTCGGTACAGGACTTAGTCTGCTTGCTGGGCTGTGTGTGCACGTGTGCACAGAGATCTCCCCATGTGACAACTCTGACGGCAGCAAGTGTCGTTTAAAGCAGCAATCCTGCCGTGGGTGCCCTCCCCTCATCTCCCATGCCTTGGAGTTTACAAACCACAATTTCATGTTTCCCCTTTGCTCTCCCAGGAAAGAAAGAGCGTAGCCATCAGCACCACTTCCCTTTTCCAAACAAGGAGACGGAGGCTCAGGGAGAGGAAGGGAGTTATCCGGGGTAGCACAGGACTGCCAGTTCCTGGCCAAGTGGTCGGGGCGTAGGGCTGTCCCACTCAGCAGGCTCACCCTTCCTGAAAGATGCTGGGCCTGGGGCAGGCGAGCATGTGTGGGACGAGGTCCCCTCAGTTTTGCAAAGCCCATGGAGCCCCCAGGCCTCTCCAGGAAGGCCACGAGCGTGAAGGCAGAGATGGCGGAGAGGCAGACAGATGCAGAGAGGTTTAAATCTGGCCCTCCCACTGCTCAGGAGTCCAGGTTCCCAGGCCAAAGCAGAAGTCTGCTCCTCACTGACTGTTTGTCCTCCCATAACCCCAGGGCATTTCTGGCTGCCGACACAGGGCTCAGACACAGGGGACTCAGCAGAGGTTCCCCCACCCCTGGCCTTCTCTGCTCTCCCAGAACCTGCCCCCCGGAAGGCCTTTCATCTCTGGCCATGTCACCAAATGTCCCATCCACCAAGCACTTGCTGTGTACTAGGCGCTTGCCCTCTCTCCTCAACTCCTCATGCCTGCTCCGTAAGATTAGAATCGTCTCCATTTTACAGATGAGGAAACTGAGGTCTGAGATCTCCCATGGCAAGTGGAGGCTTGGACTGTGTGTCTGCCCATCTGCTCCCGTGTCCTGTCTCTCTGCCCCCACCCTGGTTCAGGAAGCCGGCAGTCTGCCTGACCACAGCCTTGGGAAGAGGCCCTGTTCCTCTTCCAAGGAGTTCTTCACTGCACAGCTCTCCTCAAGCACTTCTTATTGTTCCATTTGTGCTTGAAAAGGCGACTCATTGGCGTGGTTCAAAAATCACAGGTGTCCAATGTCATGCTGTTCTTGTTCCCTGCCCCCAGGGGCCCTTCCGGAGACGACCAGTGTCATCTGTCTCCCTCTGAAGGACTCAGAGAAGCAAATATCTATGTGTACTATCCTCTGCCACCCCTTACAAAACATAAAATGATAGCATTCTGCACACACTCTCCGGACCTTGCTATTTTCCTCTTAACGATATCTCAAAGTGTATTCCACATCAAGACATAAAGAGCCTTTTCATTTTTTAATGGCTGCACAGCATTCCCAGGCACTGATGAATCATTTATCCAAGTGGCATCTGAATGTCCAGCCCTGCCAGGTGCTGTTCTAAGGCCTGAGGCCCTAGGCAAGGCCCTTCTGCTCCAGGGGCTCACACTCACCCGAGATGAGGCCTGAGCTATCCCCAGATCTCTTCATTGCAAACAGTGCCAAAGGATCGCGTTTTATATCAGCCACATCATCATGTGTGAATTAATCTAGAGAACACACTCTTGGAAGTGGAGTTTCTGGGTTGTTTGGGCATCTGTACTTTGATCAGTGCTTGCTGGGTTCATCTTATCTTGTAGCTCTCCAGCAAAAATGTAAAAGTGGGCGTAGCATCACCACATTGATTTCTTCTACCCTCACTCTGCCAGTGCCCTTCCTATCACACTACCTATCACACATTTACACACCCAGATGTACAACTTCTCCATCACTTATCCATTGTCTTGTCCATCCATCCAGCCAGCCATCTTTATTCTCCACTTGTCCATCCTTGCATACTTCCAACTCACCCAGTAAATACTTGTCAACATCTGATACTGTGCTAACTCTATGGAACATGGTGAGGTGAAAATGAGATCATTTTCTTGAGCTCATGGAACTCTTGGTCCAAGCCTATATCTACTCCATGTCACCTTTTATATGACTATTTGTTGAACTCTTCTTATGCTGGTCCGGGCACTAGACAAAGACACAGTTACTATATCCTCACTTCACAGATGCGTAAACTGAGGCTTGAAGGTGGTCTCTCAAGCACCACATGGTAAAGAACTGGGCCTTTCCAGCCCCCACCCAGGGCACGAGCGAACACTGACTGCCAGGGTCCCAATTACAGATGGCTGTTTCCACAGCAAGCAGGGCAGGGGCGCTGAGCCAAAGGGCCTCATTAAAAAGGAGGAGCCTGAAGGAAAGTCATAGAAACCCCAGGCCTGTGCAGACCTCAACCCCCGGCCTGTGCAGACCTCAACCCCCTGTCCACAGGCAGTAGCCAACCAGGACAAAGGGCCTGCGCTGGCCCATGTGGCCAGCAGGGGGTGCTGTTGATGAAGATAACTGCCCAGGGGGTTAGAAATCTGAACTGTGGAAATTTGGTGAGGGATCTCAGACGGTAAAGCATCTGCCTACAATGTGGGAGACCCAGACTCAGTCCCTGGGTCAGGAAGATCCCCTGGAGAAGGAAATGGCAACCTACTCCAGTATTCTTGCCTGGAAAATCCCATGGACAGAGGAGCCCGGTAGGCTACAGTCCATGGGGTCACAGAGAGTCGGATACAACTGAGCGACTTCACTTTCACTTTATGTGGTCTCACGACAGTCTCTAGGTAGGAACTTTTCCCAGGATGGGCACAGCATTTTGTCTATAGGGTCAGTGACCTAGCGGGGCCTTGATAAATGCCTGTAGAATGACTGACAGATCATTTCCGGGGCCTGGGTGTGGGGTGGGGGCTCAGCCCACCCAGGGAAGCCCCAGGCAGGCACCAAACCCATCAAGACAGCCACGTGGGGGGCCAGAGGTCGTCCTTTCCTGTTGAGTTACAAGCAGGGGGCCACAGGTTTCCCCTGAGGAAACCAAACAATAAAGGGGAGACAGACTGTCCAAATTCGGGTCTGTCTCTACACTGACTCATGCGCTATCCTGTCTGGAGGCCTATCTGATCTGAGATAGCACCTGGATTCAAAGATGCTCAGAATATCATTGACCAAAGGTGCCTGGAGTTCTTCCACCACCTCAAGTTCAGCTGGTTTTATTCTTGGGGGCCTGAGGCCCAGAGGTGGAGTGTCTAAGGTCACACAGCACCTCTGGGCTGGATCTAGATCCCAGGGGGCTTTACTCCCAGACCAGGGCTCCATGCTGTAGGAACCAAGACATGAACGGCTGGGCTTGGGACACCTGAGAGACTCAGAGGGTTGACAGGAGAGACATCACATATCACAGGGACAACTGCAAGTCCTGTATGTCTCAATCTATAAAAGAACAAAATGTCTAGTTGATTAAGGAGATACTCACAGGTGAGGTGACACTTCTAAACCACCAAGATCAGTGGAAAGTTGGGGCTATTAACACCTAGAATGGATGGGCTGGTGGTTCCGGCCCCTGGAAGCAAAAGGTCAAGGCCTAGAAGGCTAAAGATCACAGACGTGAAGAGAAGAGAGGGTGCTGAAGGAGGCATGAAAACGGTGGCTCCCTGAGGGGCATTGTGAGATTTTCCATTAGTTCTGCACCTGCTGTGTTCAGGCACTAGGCCAGGCCTTGTGTATTGCTAATTCACTTAATCCTAAAAGGTTCAGAGAGGTGAAGTGACTTTCCCAGGGTCACACAGCTGGGACGGTATTGGGCTGATTCAAACCCTCTGCTTTTTTAATCACAGGCATGTTCTTTCCAATCCTCCAAGACTGGAGGTCAGAGCCTCCTGGAAGTCTCCACCCAAGACTGTGCCTGAGCCCAAAAAGATGTTCCCCTGGAACCTGTCCACACCCATCCACTTGCTTCCAAGGCCATCCAGTGCCGCTGGCCTCCCTGCCTGCTGGCTGGTGCGGGAAAGTGGGAGCGCTCAGCGGCCAGCAGAGGTCGCCCTCCACCACAGGAGCGCTGCTGGGCTTGGCTGGGGCCTCCCTCCTTCCAGCTTGGGCACCTCTAAGCTTTTACAAGTCGCTACAAACCCTCGGTGGCAGCGGTAACTCCAGCGCCCACTGTGGCCAGGCTCCCTCCCAACTGGAGATCACTTGTGGCCAGGCCCTGGGTGCACCCATGGCCTCGGCCCTTCCTGCCATGTTTGCCTCCGAATGGAGATTGGGCTCAGGCGGTCCACCCCCTGGGGTGCCTGGCCCTCTGTCCTGGTCTGAGCAGCCACCAGCCTGCAGGAGATGCAAGGCTAGTCAGTGTGGGGGCCTGGAGGCAGCCCAGCTCTGCCACCCTCCTTGGTTTTCCCATCTGTAAAACGAAGCCTAGCCGGCTGCTGGCAGCTCTTCAAACTCAACATCTTAGGATTTTGGTGTCAGGAGCTCCAGCTGTTTGGAAAACGCCATCTCAACAAGTGTAAGATGGTTTGACTCTAGAATTGCAAAGCCGGTCTCAAGGCAGGCCTGCGGGGAGCCTGCTGGCCCAGGAAACTCGGGGGGGTGGGGGGGGTGGTCACTGTTCCAGGGTCACCTCAGACCTCAGATGCTTCCCCTTTCTCTGTGACACGCTTTTCCTTGAAGTTAATGCTCGACTTGACTTAATCGCATGTAGGTAGGTTTTCCAATGGTGACATCTGGGTTGGCTTCCCAACTCACAGGGGAGTGCTTGAAAGGGCCAGGCTTCCATTTTGC